AATTATGTTTGAAATTATGAACATTGCTCAACATCATGAAAATTAAACCTTATTTTCAATAAGCAATCCTGAAAAATATTTGGGGGTGCTTAACTTTTTTCCAGGTGTATATATGCTTACTTTCCTATTCATCTCCTCCCTCGCATTCTCTCCCTCATACGGAACACACTTGTGGCACCCTATTGGTCAGCTCATGCATGGTTTCCTCTGTTGAGTTATCTCCAGTCCTCGCTTCCTCTTCTTCATTCTCTATCCCATTATCTTCTTCTCATTCCTCCATTTTATCTCCACTTTAAAAATGGGATATTTTCAGTCCTTTGCAAGAAGATTCAGAATATTTTCTAATTCTATTTGCCAATCCTCCCTCCTTGTCTATCAGTGGAAATGGCATATCTTTTGCAGTTGATCACTGCATCATTCTTTCTCCCCTTCTTGGCATTCTATTTCTCATCTCTCTGAATTCTTCTTGTGGCTTTTTGACCAAGATTTATTGGTATTGACCACCACTGGCTATCAGATGTCTCTCTCTAAGTTCCCTGTCACTGTCAAGTTTTTTTCTACCCGGTTCCCACTATGATCTTCCATTCTTTTCACCACCTTCATCCTTCTGTCTTTCCCTATTGGGACCTCATTGTTGTTCTCCATGCCCTTACACTTCCACCATTCATACTTTTGGCCTTCTGTTTTTCACGACATAAACGTTTAGATGTTATTGATTGATTTGTTTTTGTGAGTAAATATTTTATTATTGTTTAGTTTTTGTTATAATAAGAGTTAAAAGCAGACAGATAATAGCAGAAGAAAGTAAAGTTACAAAAGGAAAAGTTAATTACTGTAGAAGTGATAGGCCTAATGTTTAATATGTTAGAGTAAGAATAACAGTAGAAATGGAGGTAAGAAAAGTAATTTATTCCGTCAAAGCGTGGTTCTAAAGTAATGAACTTTGACAAAAAGAACATAGGATCTTCAGAAGAAAGAAGACCACAATCGCAGTGAATCACACCAGACTAATATTGCGAAAGCATCAGAGAA